TTTAAAAGTTATTGATCTGATGCTCACTAGTGAATGATTACAGGATAACCGATTAGCCTGGAGTTCTAGTAAGAACTCATGATCAATGGGGTCTGGCTAAGTCGGGTTTGAGGAGAAATACTCGCCAATAATATCTGCTGGCAGTAGCGCCAAAAATCACACCATTGGTTTCCGTTTCATTCGCTAGATGGTCCACGATCCCGCTTGGGTTCGACCCCAGTAAGATGGGGTTGTGGGTAAGTACTAATGTCGACTGGTGCTGTTCTCGCCAGGCAGATCAAAGCGATTGATCTGAACATCTCTATATGAAGGACTGTTTCACCCGTCTAGTTTTCCCAAAGAAAATTACAGTCAAATTTCCGTCTTAACCCGTTCACAATATGCAAAATATACCAAGTTATCTGCCTTAATTCTCTAATTCCCTTTTTTTACCCGAGCCGTATCGTTTCAACTACAGACAGCACATGAATGAGAATACCAGAGACGGACAGGATAGGATGAGCAAGAAGCCAGGCCTTCATTACTCTTAAATCGATGTGGAAATCTACAGTACTCAAATATTACCTGTAAAAACATCCTAATGTTAAGTCAGTCAGTATTTCTGTGTATAGTTCAGAGACAATTTCTACACTGAAGACTCTCATCAAAATCACTATTCGCTCAACACCAGAGATCAGATAGCCAGAAAGGATGCACAATGAAAGAGCTCTGCCGACGAACCCACCAAGAGCCTATCCACCTGACAAATATGCAGATGGAATTGGAGATGAATAGACTAGACACACATTGAGGAGACTATTAAGTGAAATCATCAACCTCCAGGCCTTTGAATATATAACTCGAATGGGAAGCAACAAATTAAGCATAAGTCAGAGGATGAAATGAAGGGGATCGTGTGAAGAGGAGATGAAAGTTTGTGGGCGGTCAGTTTAAAATGACGATAAAGAACTGATTGAAGTGAAGTGATGTGTCCCTATAGCTCTATATTCCACTTGGAGGCCAACAATGATAATAATTGACAATAAGAAGATGCAATTTGTTTGAATCGTGTACTCTTGTATTTGTGCAACACATTTCGAACAATCTGATCACACTCCACGTACTTGTCATAGGAATGTATATACATATGAAATTAATAAAGAGTTAAGAGGTGAGAAAATAGACTACTTAGGTCAAGTTAAAAGGCCGCCATATTGAAGGTCAAAATAACAATGAAAATCATTAAACCAAATAACAGAGGTAATAGTACATTTGCTATGGTATCAAAACAAAATTTACCAAGTTCATCAGAAGAAATGAAGTAATCAGAACACCAAGACCTACTTTCCACGTCACCACTAAGAAAAACGTGTACACCCTAAAAGGAGCAGCATAGCAGCTTGACAACTAGACAAAGATTGAACGCTGTTGTGGTTAAAAAGACTTTTTATGCAGCTAATATCATAATAATTGAGAATGTGAAGCCAATATATCCATCCATCTAAGCTCTTTGAACATGTGAAAAGTGATGTCACATCCCAATGTATTTACCAATTTCAATGTACGTGTGGACACGCATACATAGGAGGGAGGACTCATCTATCTCTGCAAGTGACGGTTGGCTTCAGAGCATATTCCTAAATGGCTCAAGAATCAAATAGAATCTTCAGAACCCATTAATGGTGAGAACAGGAGACCTAGGTCTTCTATTGCGAAACATATTATAGAGACAGAACATAAAATTGACGTTAACAGATCTTTTAAACATATCTATAAAATGTGTTTGGGCGTGTCCTAAAGTTTTTGGAAGCCCTAGCTATCAATTAGGAAGTTTAAAACACCTTTACGCGTTCAAAGCAACAATTCGTCATCACACTGAACCACCTTCCTTAGTAAACTTTGTTTTGATACCATAGCAGATGTACTATTACCTCTGTTATTTGGTTTACTGGTCTTCATTGTTATTTTGACCTTGAATATGTCCCTTTAACTTGATCCAAATTTATTTCCTCACCTCTTAACTCTTTATTAATTTCATATATACACATTGCTATGACAAGTCCGTGTGTGATCAGATTGTTGGAAATGTGTTGCCCAAATACACATTACACGATTCAGACAAATTACGTCTTCTTATTGCTTTGTCTAACTAAATTCATAAAGGGAACACTAATTCTTTTAGATAATAATTGGCAGAAGTTGGAATGGTCAACAAACTCGCCTTGTAAACAGAAGCTCCCAGGTGGATGCGTGCTGATGAAGAATCCCAAAGAAACAGGACGAAACAGTTGTTCAGTACTCCCTGATTGGTTTTCCAATTGTCCCCTAAAACTGATATCATCAACTAATGATCGAACCTGTAGCCAATCAGCCAATCGCAGCAAACCAAAACTTGATGCTCACAGGAAGTTAGTTACCTGGAGTTCTAGTGAGACCGCCTAACCAGTGGGGTGGTCTTCCATCAAGTTTGGCAAAAAGACAGTTATTCGCCCATGACACTTGTTGACTTAATCGTCTACGAGTTAGCCGTGTAACCGGAAGGTCCAGGAGGATCGGACCCCTGTGATGAGTGCGCGCTAATGATGAGTCCCAGACTAGGACGAAACAGTTGTCCAGTACTTCCTGTTTGGTTTTCCAATGGTTCTTCTAATTGATATTGTCAACTTAAAATCAAACCTGTGCTATTATAATGTTAAAGGTGAACTTAAAACTCAACAATATATGAAAAATCGATCAACATTCTTTTTCGTGTTATCGAATAGGTGAAAATCAAATCACACACTTGTGCAGCAAATCAGTAAATGTTAAGTGTGATGATAAACTCAATATGAATTATTAATTTTACTTGTGTGAATTATATTGAAATTATTTTTCTTATCGCACATATATATATTGACCAAAAAGGAGTATGTAAGAGGTGAGAAATTACAAAGCCACGGGGGGGGGGCGAGGGGGGCGGCGGAGTGTTCACGTTGTCTTTCACTCTCTCTCATTCAATCATAATTTTGCATTGCAGTTTATGTTGAAGAGACGATTTTTTTTTCCAAATAAATCTTTGAAAACATTTTAGAAAAGAAAAAAAACTTTCATATTTGTTAAAGTACTTTTTGTGTGGATTCTCATTCGACGTCGTGTACATATACGACCAGGTGTTCATTCCTCCTGAATGGGACTTCTGGCCTGGAGGATTTCGTCATGAGCTGACATCAGTTGTTCTTTTTTTCTCCTTTACTCTCCGAGTGGAATATGGGAGAGAAAATTTGGAAGAGGTCACTTGCTTCACTTATCTGACCAGGAAGCATCGTTTCAATCACAGGCAGCAAGTACGGATGAAGATGTCAAAGCAGGCCAGTCAGAATCGGAAAAGCAAAGTACACCTACATCGATATGAAATCAGTTTGGAAACCTTCTGCACTCAACAAAATTCCGATTTTCAACAATAATGTGAAGTCAGTCAGTAACATTTCGGACAGGCTACTCTACTGCAGACTTTCATTATCATCTTCATCATCATCAGTTGCCAACTTCGCTGGCTGACTCCATACTGAGGAACAAATAGCCGGCCAAAAAGCATTAGCAACAAGAAACTCTAAAGTGGAAAAAAACCAACAGGCAACAGCCAATTGCTCGACAAATATGTAGCAGAAAATGGAGATGGATTGCGTGCACACGTCACTGAGGAGACCGCTGAATGACGTCGCACGCTAACCAGGCTATAACTCGAGTGGCAATCAAATAGGAAACAACGAGTTGGGCATGGGTGGTCCAAGGGTGACATGTAGAAGATCGTGTGGTGAGAAGGAGATGAGAGACCCTGGACAATCATAGGACCAGGTAAAGAGGACTGCAGAGAATAGGACAGATGGAAAGACGTGCTGTTGAAGCGGTAAGTTCCCCACTAGGAACTCAAAGGAACAATCCTTGGTCTGCAATCTACGAATGTTTGGCATGCGATTCGCTCCCGCCAAATGTAAGATGATCAGGCTATGAAACTCGACTACACTGACTCCTAGTTTAGAGATAGGGAGTGAAGTGGTACAGTACGTTGACCGCTTCCCTTATTTGGGGAGTACCATGAGCCAGCGCAAGCGCGTTGATTGCTGACGAAATCTCAGCATGGATATAGAGGGCTAGTTTCGCATATGCCAGTTTACGCAGCCTCTGGCTTAGTAGACGTCATATCCGGCTGACTATCGACCAAAGAACGGGTGTACAATTCAGCAGTCCGCTCCGTCTTCCTTAGTGGCTGGCTGTTAGACCTGGCCATTGAGAGCGGAAGACATGAAAACATTAGCTGTCTTCTATCATAGGTGTCTGCGTTCTATCTCCCACGTGAAGTGGCATAATAAGGTGAGCAATATTGAGGTTAAGCGTCGAGTTCTAGGTAAGGCGGGGAAATCAGATGACGAGGCTGTGAAGCCACATCGACTAAGATGGTTGGGACATGTGTTACGTATGCCTAGTCATCGCCTTCCTCGACAATGGGCAATGTTAGCTGATATAGGGTCAGGCTGGAAAAGAGCTAGCTAGTGGTGGTCAAAGCAAAACATGGCACCAGTCAATGAAATCTAAAACAGTTAGTTTAAGCCAGCCACGTAGGAAGGTGCAGACTACCTGACTGGTTGGGGTCCCCTGGACGGTAAAAACCAATGGTTGGAAACAATTGCTAATATGGCTCAAAATCGTTCTCAATGGCTGTCGCAGATGCATCCACTCCTTGTGACTTATGATTTTCAATGAAACTATATTGTTCTTCGTTATTACTATTCCTTTGTCTCACACCTCTGTTACTGTCTCTAATATGAATTTCTTCTACTTTCTTCTCTTCCTTTGTGTGCTACAAGGAGTGTAGTGTGGCGAATTGAACTGTTGTACATCGGTGCAAAGTTCTATGTCGAATACAGACAGACAGACAAGGGAACAATAATAAATAATCATAATAATTAACAACAGTAATAACCACAATGACAATACGAAAGGGCAAAGTGAATCGCAAATACAAAACAAAAAAGGGAACTCACTTTCCACTTCTTGTAATGCTACTCTAAATAGAGTACTTTTATTCTCCATTGGAGGAGATACATATTTCATGCATAATTTCATTGTTGGATTTGTTGAATCGAATAAATATCCACCGAGAGCTAATTCTTTCGTCTTATTAAACTAGGATTATGAAAGAAAAATAAATAAATATTAAAAATTTAAAAAAAACAACAGGGATGATACTCACTGGAGTTAATCAATACTATGAATTCAAGGAATTGATTTAAGGATTTTATCATTAGCTGAGATTGATTAGAGAGCCATTGGAAAACCAGCCAGAGCGTAATGGACAGCTGTTTCGTCCTCCATCTTTGAGACTCTTCAACAAGACCTTCCGGTTACAAGGCAAGCGATCTCGTAGACCACTACTCAACCACTGGGACTCGATCTAACGGTTAGCCCATCAATTTCAACTTCTACTAATTCACGATATAGCGCGACCACTAGCTAATGTATCCCCCCGCGGCGAGTATTCGTCCTCACACCCAACCAGCTGTACACCACTCGGTCGGTTTTCGACATAGAACTTTGCACATATGTGCGGAAGTTCAAGTCGCCACACTCCCTCCATGTAGCACACAAAGCAAGAGAAGAAAGTAGGAGAAATGCATATTAGAGAGAGACAGTAAACAGAGGTGTGAGACAAAGGAATAGTAATAGCGAAGAACAAAACAGTTTAATTGGAAATCATAAGTCACAAGGAGTGGATGCATCTGCGCCAGCCAGCCATTGAGAACGATTTTGAGCCATGTCACCAATTGTTTCCAACCATTGGTTTTTACCGTCCAGGGGACCCCAACCAGTCAGGTAGTCTACACCTTCCTACGTGGCTGGCTTAAATTAACTGTTTTAGATTTCATTGACTGGCGAAGCCATATTTTGGTTTGACCGCCGCTAGCTGTTTTCCAGCCTGGCCCTATATCAGTTAACATTGCCCCTCGAGGAAGGAGATGACTAGTCACGACTTCCCACTAGAGCTCAGGGAAGTAGGAATACAAATCAGTCCGGCTAACTGTTTACGTCATCGAAATATTATTTGTTCCAAAAAGGAACTCTCTACATGAAACTGAGTTTCAAACGAGGCCTAGCCTGCGATATCAGCAGTTTTGAAAAGAAAATTCTTCACAGCAACGCTAAGAGTAGTGTTTCCCAATCGTTCATTGGTCTGCAAGTGTATTAAGGACGAGATGTCGCATTTGACCACTTCTGTCTACGTATATCAGTACACTTGCTTCTGTGGTGCCAGCCAGGTACATTGGTCGCGCATTCGACGCGCATCCTGTCGAAAAGAATTCGAGAAAGCCTTTCCTGCATAGCTGTAAAATGGTAATAGCGGCTCCATAAGGAGTGACATCATCGAACAGCTTGCCAACACTAAACTATTCCATCCATCTCAACAAAATGTCTCCCTCAAAGTAATCTACAGAGTTAAGAACAACCTACCTACCTACCTACCTGAATAGGGCCAATCGCTAGCGAGCATCAGAATGTTATTCAAAGTGTTGCTTTGCAAGGATTTAATTGGTTTCAGGATTTCCTCATTAGCTGCCAGGAAGTACTGGACAGTTTTTTCGTCCTACTTTAGGACTCTTCATCAGTACGCACCAACCATTAGGACTGGAGTTCAGGATCCTCTGGTTACAAGGCGAGCTCTTAGACCTTTCAGCCACAATTATATTGAAAATTAATCGAATTCTCAACTGGAACTGACTGGACTCTAAAAGATTAAGTTGATTGATGTTCTAATGGGGTACACCTGTGTTGAGTGGAGGACAAACACTTCCCGATGACATATCCTGTGGTAGTGGATCTACATATATGTATATATCGCGAACTGGTAGAAGTTAGAACTCACAGATCATTGGATTCCGTCTCAATGTGCTTTAGCAGTTAACGGGACAAGCCTTTCTTGTTCACTTTCTTCACTACAATTTCCTATTGAAAGAAATAGATGCATTTACATTCCTTATATAAAGTCGGCAGTAAGTGGCAACTATAGCTTGAGGCCTATTGATAATACATGGCTGATCAAACTTCGGTAAGTTTAGCGATGCATAAAATCCGTGACCTAGCCCCAGAATGCTTTGACCAACGACCTGCACAAAATTCACCATTCTACCATCGATTAACCCAACATCTTATCACATCTTGGTGTTTTTACAACTTCCTCTCAAATCCTACCTCAATCACTTGTTTTCTTCTTGTTATATGGTTGAAGGCAGTCGGACAGAGACTTTGTGCCTTGTGGCATTCATCAGTAGGGTGTGTCTGCAACCTTCAAAGAGTTGCTGCACCCCACACTAGTCACAGTGCTGCAGTCTGAACCGTTACCACTAAGCTAATCGGGCTGACAAGTGACCTCCCATAGGATTATAATAAACACATTGATTGGTCTTTAGGTTGTAACAGACACCATGCATCTAGTCCTCGACGTCGATATCGATTAAATTCTATCAGCACTAAATACGAATTGCAGAGGAAACACGAGTTCCTTCAAGGTTGTAGGTAAGCCTTGCTAACGATTGCCAATAAGCAAGAAACCTAGGTCAAAGTAGGGCTTCCCCCCGACTGCTTTTAACCTCCTAGAATCTATTCAGAGTGCACTGCAATAGTGAATCTCCTGGCTTGTTGGTGACTATATTACAAACCTGACCGACCGAATACAGTCGGCACCAAACACCAAGGCCAAGATGCATGACATTGGTTAATTACCTCCTCCCAGTGCCCAATCGATATATTTTTTCCTCTTATTGTGTAGCCTGATTATGAAAATCGTGATATTTCTTAGTCTTCCTTAAGAAGTTATATCCGGTGAGGGAATTGAATCATAGGTGTGAATGCATAAAATAATAATAATAAAAATAATATGAAATGCAATTAAAACTAAAATGTTTGTGATTATAATCGTAGTTAAATGTCAAGTGGCAAAGCAAATTAATGTCATATATAGAATAATTTTCATGTATTCGTTTTGTAGGGATTTTTGTTTGATTGCATGGAGGATTTCATCATGAGCTGACATCAGTTAGAGAACCACTGGAAAATCTGAGAGCACTGGACAGCCAGCTGTTTCGTCAGCCTAGTTTGGGACTCTTCATCAGTACGCACCCACACCACAGGGGGTTCGAACCCACGACCTTCTAGTTACAAGGCGAGCTAAATCGTAGACCATTCAGCCACTGGGACCCAATCCAATGGTCCTTGAATTCTAACTTTTGCCAATCCACGACATAGCACGACCACTTCGCAATGTCTTCTTCGATGAGTTACTGCGTCATCTTCAACCTGCTGTATACCCTACTGGTCAATAATTCCCACTAGAATCCCAGGTTAACCGCTTGAATAGGGCCAGTCGCTGGTGAGCATCAGATTAATTTTTAAGTATTGGTTTTGTAAGGATTTTTGTTTGATTGTATGGAGGATTTCATCATGAGCTGACATCAGTTAGAGAATCACTGGAAAACCTTGAAAACAGAAGGTCCTGGGTTCGAACCCCGGTAGGTGCGTACTGTGAAGGGTCCCAAACTGGGACGAAACAGCTGTCCAGTACACCCAGGTTTTCCAGTGGTTCTTTAACTGATGTCAGCTCATGATGAAATTCTCCATCCAATATATAGAATAATTCATAGGATGGAGAGGACTTGAAAAAGGGCGTGCAATTATAAGATTAGTAGACAATCGAATAAAATAAAAACGTTATGTAATATTGTGTGAAATTTAATAGCATAGGATTTAATGTTGTAAAAAGAAACTGATTTAGAATGACAAGTGGAACAAGTGCAATAATACCGGGGACATCTGGTCGATAATGATCACCCTATCTCTATAGTCTCCGCCTTTAAAGTTATCTACAAGGCAAAGAATAATCTACCCAAATCCCTACGTACCCGACTCATCTGTATTGCTGAAGCTCTGGCTATCGAAACAGAAAAGCCAGATCTCTGTGTATAGAAAAAGTTCGTTCAACCCCTCCAACTTTCATGATCATGATCCCTCAATGCTAAAGTATGGTAATCCCCAATCATATTTTGGCTCTACCAATTTTTTTCATTTTTGTCTATTCAATTTGTATACTCTTCCTTTATATTACGTCAATTGTTACTATTACTACTCTCACTTTTAACTACCCCCGATATTATTCCACTTGTTCCACTTGTCATTCTAAATCAGTTCATTTTTACAACATTAAATTCTATGCTATTAAATTTCACACAAAATATTACGTAACGTTTTTATTTTATTCGATTTGTCTACTAATCTTATAATTGGACACCCTTTTTCAAGTCCTCTCCATCCTATGAATTATTCTATATATGACATCAATTTGCTTTGCCACTTGACATTTAACTACGGTTATAATTACAAACATTTTAGTTTTAATTGCATTTCATATTATTATTATTATTATTTTATGCATTTCTTAGTCTCTCTATAGAGGAAAGTGCATGAAACTGATACTGGGTGAATATACAGCGAAAATCTCCACCTACGTCAAATGTTTTGTCTCCTCACTAATATTCTGATTTCAAATAATAATCTCCCGTGTATCTATCCGCCTTTTTAAACAAGGAGCTAAACCAGATATACAGATCAGTGGTATCATGGTTTCGCAGTTTTGAAGAGTCCCCAGTTGAGACGAAACCACTGTTTAATAATCTCTAGTCTTTAAATGATCCTCTTTCTCTAAGGGATATTTATCCAAATTTAGGTTTTCATAGGGATTTCGACTAGTTTAATTGTAGATTTCGTCACAACTGAGATATAGTGAAACAGTAGTTTCGTCCTGGCAGTAGCACTCCTCCTCAGTGGCGCGCACATCAACTACCCCCTTTGAGTTAGAAGACCAGCGCATTGTCCCTTCATCCATTGGATTCAATGACTCGTGAATTCTAACTTATATCAATTTTTGCGATATACCACCTCCACTTCAAACTAATGTCATCGACAAACACATTCAGTTTTCTCAGACATGAAGGATCCTATCGGTGACAAATTCTCGTTAGAATTTCAGATTATCCAAGCATTCAATGGACGGTAGGTAGTATAGAAGCCCAAGTGAACAGTTAATATTCACTAGAGAAATGCAGCTATATTATAACTGTCAAATAGCGTAACACGTGGCGAGTTTTTTTTTACCTTCTTCTCTCTTCCTAACCCACTCTTTCTCATGATGGTAGCAGTGAAATCCTGATGACATTATTATCCAACCAATGGTTAACGACCTGCTATGACCGGTGGTGAGTAGACTTTAGTCTTCCTCCTCTCCACATAATATCATTTGGCCGTGCCTTCAAAGCCTCTACCACGTAGGTCTAATTCACCGCCTTCAAAGCACCAGAAAGTGTTCCTCAAAACAGTGAAACGGTGCCTAAAACTAAACTGACAGACACACAGTCCTACCAACAGGAGCTAGAAAACCCTAACTCCAAACCAAAGGTGTACACAGATTCCAGAATCCGAATGGATAGGATGGCGAATGAAGTAGGTTCGGTCACTGGGACCGATGGAAATGCAGTTGCTGATGCCGCTCCACTTCCTTGTGGATCAGAAGTGAAGTCAAAGGCTTTGGGGTAGGGGGTAGCCACTTAAGACGACCACTTGATTCGATCTAGAAGTTCGGAAAGCATTCTAGAGCCTTTGCCTATCTCTTGGCTTCCATGATGTACCAATTGTGTTTATATTAATAATAAATAGTTAAATAAAACGGGAACCACTACTACTTAAAGTTGTCATTTATTGATCCACCACAATTGACTTTTGAAGCAAAAGTGAGTACCTACTTGAAATCCCCCACTCCACTTATCAATTATATGTTACTAAAATTATTTAATAATTTAATAATTCCCATTGTGGCATTAAGAACACAATATTCAGCAAAGAGACTCTTTGACATATAACGTTCACTAGCCACAAGTTGTTCTCTACTTCTGTAAAAGATAAGCTCACCCGTCTGGCCGCCTCCATGTGCATCTATCAGTTCACCTGCCCCTATTGTGGAGCAAGGTACATTGGCCGTAGTCAGAGGATGCCGCTTTCCACACGGATACGAGAACATATTCCAGCTGCATGGTTTTACAAGGGAGAAAGGAATTGTGTGAGAAGCTCTGTTCTGGAACACCTGATCGACTTCTGTCAGTCTGCCAACCCTGACCGTGATTTTAAGATCATCTACAGAATCCATGCTAACTTCCCGCGTTTTCTTCGTTACAGACTTCTAAAGACAGCTGAGGCCTTGGTAATTCATGACTTTAAGTCAGACAGGTCTTCGTGTACAAAAGAAGTATGTACAATCCCTACTTCTGCTTTGGCCGTAGACGGATAGACATTTATTTATTTATTTTGTTTATTTAGTTATTCTATGTACTTTTCCCTTATTACCACGATTATTATTGATATTATTATCATTATTATTATTACTATTCTCACTCTGAATCTTTTCCACTTGACCCTCTTGACATTTTAAACCCAAAATTATTAATTTTTATATTTTAATTTTTACAATATTGAATCCTATGTTATCAAATTTCGCACCATGTTATGTAACATTTTATATTCGTCTACTAATCATATAATTATGTACTTCTTTCCAACATCTATACACCTTATGTACTATTCTATAGATGACATTAATTACTGTGCCACTATGATTATAATCACAAATATTTTAAATTGCATTTCATACTATTATTGTTTCATGTATTGACACCTCTGACCTAATTCCCTCACCGGATATTATTATTTAATTAATACCAATAATCCACTATACATCTTTTTCAAACGATGCGATCCATAAGTCTAAAGTTTTCCCTCTGATCAGAAACTTGTCTGAACTCACGTACAAAGGGCTGTGAGCCACACAATTACTAACATGAGCGTTAATGACAAGACCCATTTGCTTAGGCTGAAGTAGGCATGGAGTGACACAGCCAGCCGAGAAGCTAATGGTTGATGCACTAACTGACTAACTGATTCGTCAACTGTGGATGCACCTGCATCTCACCCTCTCAAGTGAATGATGGCGTCCCCACTACGACTTGAAACTTGGCCGGTAGCACTCATTGTCTTAAAAGTGCCAACCAATTTTATGGGGTAAAACAATAAAAGCTTATTTTCAAGCTTGACTACGAGAGGCTGATGCCTGCTAGTGACTGGCTCTGTACAGGAAGAGGTACCAAGAGTTCTCTAGTGAGAAGTCGTGAGCAGTGGGATCCAACAACAGGTTAGGAGTGAAGAAAAATACTCGCCAGCGATGATGGTCACGCTAAAATCACTGATGCTCGCTAGTCACTTGCTACAGGTTGGAGCTTCCTGCAGTTCTAGTGAGAAGTCGTGACCAGTGAGGTCCAATTAGAAGTCACGTGTGTGGATGGATGTCCCACCAACGACAATAGTTGGGGTCGCGCTAAAATCACGAATTGGTAGAAGTTAGAATTCATGAGCCATTGAATTGGGTCCCAGTGGCTGAATGGTATACGAGCTTGCCTTGTAACCGGAAGGTCCTGGGTTCGAATCCCAGTGGGTGCGTACTGCCGATGATTCCCAAGCTAGGATGAAACAGCAGCTGTCCAGTACTCCCTGGTTTTCAATGGTTCTCTAACTGATATCAGTCCGTGATCAACTCGTAAAACTGATAAAAAGTCAGAATTCATGCACTGGCCATTGAGGAGTCGGGGGGGGGCAGTGACTCAACAGTCTACGAGCTAGCTCGCCTTGCAACCAGAAGGTCTTGACTTCAAATCCCGATGTATGGTTGCATACTGCCGAAGACTAGGCTGTCCAGTACTCCCTGCCTGGTTTTCCAATGGTTCTTCTCAAACTGAGATATTAGTCCAATGACCAAGCTTGTGAGATAAAGTAAAGTAAAGTAAATTAAAGGGGAAAGTGTGGAGAAATTCTCACCTGGGTGATTGCATAACCAACGTGTTCATAAAATGCATCAATTGTATATACAGCATAAACACCAGTCGCTGGAGGATAATCCAGCGTTTCATACTGGGAATCCCACCGGTGTAAATATAAATGACAGAAAGCTGTATGCGATAATTCACCAAATGATACATGCGCGGCACGATTAAATCCAAAATGAATTAACTATATAAAAGAGAGAAATATATGTATATATATGCATATACATGCTAGACTATAAATTACAACGGTAGTTGCATAGATTACACGAACAATTGACAAGAAGAGATGATGGAACTGTGAAAAGATCTGGCTATCTATTTATCTATCTATCCACAAAACACAGAAAACCTTTATGGAATGGGTCAACATTACCAGCGTCCAACAATCGTTATATTTATAAGTATTTGTTTTCTTTTTTTGTAGGGATTGTGTTTGATTGGTTGGAGGATTTCATCATGAGCTGACACATTGGTTAGAGAACCTTCGTTAAACATGGGACAGCTGTTTCGTCCCAGTTTGGGACTCTTCATCGGTACACAACCACCTTGGGGTTCAAACCCAGGACATTCAGGTTACAAGGTGAGCTCATAGATCATTAAGCTGCCGGTGGGTGCGTACTGATGAAGAGTCCCAAACTGGAATGAAACAGCTGCCCAGTACTCTAACTTGTATCAAACAATAATCAAACTTCAAACAAATCAAGTCCTTACAAACAACCTCTTGAAAATTTTAATTTTTTGACAACACTTGACGTACTTTGTGGTGATGTTGTAACAACAGAGGGCAAGACATAAAAAAGGCCAAAGTATATTATTTCATTGATCAAACCGCTCTCTGTATATATATATATATACATATATACATATATATATGTATATATGTATATATATATATAGTTTGTATTCGTTAGCCAATCACTGAGTGTGTGATTTTGGTTTACATCGAACGACATGAAATAGAATGTTCAAATATATACATAGTATTCTGTTGCCAATGCAGCATTGAAATGTGGGAATATGTGACAATAATATTCCATTGGAACACATTTTCAGTATCACACCACCACATTCGTCCTGCCATCCACCCCACGTCAAATACTTTCGACTGAAGTCAGTTCGATCTTTTTGATGCTGGCGGCTTTGTTAGCTTGCCCTGCTGTATCCAGTTTCGGAGCTCACTGACGTTCACCCGCTCCTTTATGTTCGCATTTCTGATCGTATATATATACGTGACCCCATCTCACGGTGACCGTGTATGGTCCTTCCCATATTGGAAGCAGTTTGCATGACTCTGGAGCGTATTCGCCAGTATTTCGCCTCACACTATCATATGCTGCCGTCGTCCGACCTCCTAGCAGAGTTCCAAGTAATAGCCTCTTCACTGACGGATCTTGAACGCCACTCAACTTCGCAACAGCCTCAGAATCCTGCAAGAAGATCCATATGCCTCCTTCTTCAAAAACTGCAGGTCACAGGGTTTTCATTTGTCGGGAGGCAGGCAGCGACAGCGAGTGTAACAGCAGAAGGCGAGACACTGGAGCCAAGGCATATTTTTCATCAGTCAAACATCTGCTTATATATATATATATATATATATATATATATATATTGGTTGGGTAACTTCTAGTGCCACTCACTAGACTTTTCGTAAATGGCTGATTAGTCGCAGACCACCACTAACTTAGTGCGTACCTTTCATGTACCAAATTAGGAGCCATATACATACACGTGAGGCCTGTTAATACTGCCTAATTAGTCAGGCTGAAGTCTGTCGAGTAGGACTAAAATCCACAACACACTGACTGAAAGTCGAATGCAACACGCTGAATCTCCCTACAAATCACTGATTAGCTACAGGTTTAATTACAAGCTGCCATCAGTAAAGATTCACAGGTCGTTGAATCGGCTTCCAATGGCTGAATGGTTTACAACCTCGCCGTTTAACCAAAAGTTCCTGGGATTCGGACCCCGATGAGTGCGTGCGTGCGTACTATTGCTGAAGAATCTTGAACTGGGACGAAACAGCTCTCCAGTAATCCCTGCTTGTTTTCCAGTAGTTCTGTAACTGATATCACCTCATGATCAAAACGTGTAAAAACACTAGACTGTGTTTATGATAGTAACAAAAAAACAAAACAAAACAGCAGTAAAGGCTTACCTGAATTGTGACTAACAACACCTTAAGTATCTGGATAAATAATTTAAACGGAATACGTCTTTTCGCATGAAATTTACCAATCGGTGTCATAAAATGATAGTAGAGTCGTCGACGCATCCAATCTTCCACTTCAGTTGGATTAATGCATGTAGATGATGTTGACGCTGTACTACCATCGCCTACTACTGAAGCGCCTTTAGGATAAACATTATTATTATTACTATTATTATTATTATTAGTGTATTCACGATTAGAGATAAGCGGTCGTTCTTCACACGAAGAATCACTCTGTTGTAAACAATCTTCACTTGTAGCAATAGTTGTCGACTGATGAAGTTTACGATCTGATGATTTATGATCAAAACACTTGATCATACGAAAAATTGCCTTTTCTACAATACTTTGTGATCCATGTTTAGCTGCACTACTATTACTACTATTATTGTTATTAGTAGTATTAGTAGTATCATTATTATGGGGGTGACAATTCACATGAGATGATATATATGATGCGGGTAAATGTAAACAGGTCGGAGGAGGTGTTGGTGGCGGTGCCGGTGCACGATGAGGAGAATGTAATCGCCGGATGACATTATTATTATTGTCGTCACAATGCTGACAACATTGACTCCAATCAGGTTGTAGATGATTATTTCTATAGTGTGTTGTACATGAACTGCCTTGATGGTTAACACTGTCAGTAGTTTTATCTCGTTTATAACGTTTAGACATAATAGATGTGTCTGTTTTATTTTGTTCTGTTTTTAACGAAAACGGACAAATTTAATTCATCCAGAATACACCTAAAGAGAGGAGGGGGCGGGAATATAAGGGAGAAATATAAAAGTAATTAATTACTCGTAGGACATGTCAATCAAATCGATAAAATAGTTACCCTGAAAAGTTCATCACCAAAATACATAACCAAGAAAAGAACGCTTCGGTATCTACTAACAAAGAGCCTCGATATATATATATATGTGGCGCGTCGATGGCACAGCGATAGAATGCTCGCCAAACCACGCCCCCATGTGGTTGGGAGTTCGATCCGCGGCCACCGACGCCCTCCCTTACCTCTCGTTAAGCCAGTGATAAGACTGGTAAAGAGGGAAGGTTGGGCATCGGTGGCACAGTGGTTAAGACTCTCGCCGACCATGCACATGGTCCGGGGTTCGATCCCCTGCACGTAAATGAAGAAGAAAAGTTGTGTGAGTCAGTGATTTGATATGATTATGAGTGGCAATAGTTTGTACTCGAAACGTGGTCGCATCAGTTAATTTTATTACTGTATAACAACACTCCACTGTGTGATTTAACCAAAATAAAGTCTTATCCATAATGGAGTTATACTGGGACGCGATCTAATGAATTCCAACTTCTATCAGTTTGCAATACATATATATAG